GTGGAGCTCCAGGAATGCAGAGGCTCAGTTTCAGAGCATCTGCTTTGCTCACAGAAGGTCCCAGGTTCAATCCCCAGCATCTCCAGTTAAAAGGTCCGGTGAATAAGGGATATGAAAGACCCTACCTGAGACCCTGGAGGACTGCTTACAACACAGACCTTAATAGGCCAAGGGTCTGACTCAGGATCGTGTGGGGTTGCCAACTTCCAGGTGGTGGCTGGGGATTTCCTGGGATTACATCTCCAGTTGACAGAAATGAGTTCCCTGGAGAATGGACACTTTGGAAGGTGGACTCTATGGCATTATACCCTTCCTCTCCCCAAACCCTACCGTCCTCCAGCTCTACTTCCAAAATTTTCAGGTATTTCCCAACCTGCTGAGTGGCTACAGGGAACCTGACTGGATTGGAATGTCTAGATTGGCCCTGTGTTCTTCACTACAGGAATGGCCAAACTTGGGGCAAGTTTGTATATAAAGAGGGCGTTGTGCCAAATAGTTTAGTTCATGGGTGGCCAAACTGCGGCTCTTTCACATATATTGTGCATTTGTCTCTTTAAATCCCTTCTCCAATCCAAGCCAGCCAGTGGGGGTGGGTGGGTTTGGGCTTGGAAGACGCATTTAAAGTTGCTGTCTTTCCACCTCTCCCCCCATATATTTGCTTTCTTTCCACTTTCCTTCACTCTCTCTTCCTTCCTTTGTTTCTCCCCTCCCCCATTGATTTGCTTTCTCTCTCTTTCCACCTTTTATTCTTTCTTTCCACTTTCATTCTTTCTTTCCACCCCCCCCCCCTCTCTCTCTCTTGGACAAATAAATATCAATACCTGTTTTTACCCATTTTGTTTATATTTTGGCAGTCTCGTTTATAATGTTAATAAAAAGCAAATTTGCATATTTTTTTCAATAAAAACGTGTAATATTTGTTCATGTCTTCCAGCCCTCAAACATCTGATGTTTATTCTATGTGGCTCTTATGTTAAGCAAGCTTGGCCGCCCCGGCTTTAGTTGCTTCATTGGTTCTTTCAGCCCAGTATCCTGTCCCCGAGAAAAGCTGGGAGAAGGGAGGGTTGGCAAATGCCATGGACGGGGGCTTTCTCAAGAACAATCGGTGGTCTATTCCTGGTACGTTCCTGGTAGATGGTGCCCCGTGGTGATCAATAGGAAGAGGCTGTGGTTTAGATCCTCCGCTTCAGTTGCCCAAATGCCTTTGTGCTCATAGCCAGTTCACGGTATCTGGTCACCCCAAGCAAGGTACACCCCATAGGGTTTTCAGCTTCCATGTAGGCCTGGAGATTTCCTGGAAATACAGCTGACCACCAGATTACAGAGACCAGTCCCCCTGGTGAAAATGACTGCTTTTTTGGGGGGGGGCTCTAAGGCACTGTACCCAGCTGAGGCCCCTCCCCTCCTCAAACCCCACCCTTCCCCAGGCTCCACCCCCCACAGTCTCCAGGTATCCCCCAACTCAGACCTGGTAACCCTATAACACCCACCGCTTCTTGAAGCCAGCACTGGCAAGGGCACAGGTCCGGGAGAGAATGCCCGTCGCCTCCAGGGAGCCAAGCTGAACTCTGCAGTGCCTCAGTAACTCCCCCCCCACACACACACACTGTGCCCCCCTCCCCAGCCGCTCGTTGCTGCAAAACAAGCTTTCCTTGAGCCACAACCCGGAACAGACCAGCTGCGCATCCGTTCGGTGAAATGCACATTTTCAAAGACACACCAAAAAAAGAACCCTGTTGAATTGTTTTATTTGCCTTTTTTCATGGGAAAAGTTAAATAACATTTGAAAAAACAGGACAGATTCTATTAACAGGGTATATTCCCCTCCGCCCACCCCTTTTGTGCACTCTGTATAGGTTTTCGGCACCCATTTTGGTTTCTGTTTTCCTCTGAATGCAGCTCCCTACTGGGCTGCCGACACTGCGATGGAGGAGTCCTACTGCATTCTGGGAATGTCGAGAAGAGGTACTGAGTTTGAAGAGCTCAAGGCATAAGGCTGCATATCAGCGAAAGAGAGTTTGTATGTTAGGGCCTTCCTTCTGAAAATCCTGCATTCCCTCAGCACACGGTCACAGTGGAAGGTCGGCTGACTTCTGGATCCTCACATCGAAACTGTTGGTGGCCACTGCCCCTTTTCCTTCCGATGGTAGGGTTCTCTTTCTTCAAAAGAAGGCTTTTCGGCTTTTATTGGCAAGGAAACAGAAGGAGGAGCCTCTTGAAGGACGAGGGGAGCATTTTGCTACAAACTGGGCAGGACTCGCAAAGGCGACGTCCGCCCATCGGAAAAGCCCTGCCTGAAAACGCCAGACCTGGACAGCTCTGGAGGAGGATGTCTCTCAATAAAGGCCACTTGAGAGTATGGCAGGTGGACGGAACCTCTAGATCTCGCCCTTTCTTGGGCCAGAGCAGAGTACTGAATGGTCTGGAAACCTGGCAGGACATCGTTCCCCCCCAAGAAGGAACCATGTAGGCACATGAGGAATACAGGTGGACATCCAGGTCACATCTGCGGTCTTGGGTGCGCCACAGACATGTTCCTTGCCCACCGTCTCCATTTGCAATTTTAACATCCTCAAGGTCTGGGCCGAGTCGAAAGACCTTTCCCAGCCCAGCCTTCCTCCCTACGGTCCTCAGCGCTCGCTTCTCCCGGCAGCTGGGAAAGTCTTGAGAAAAAAAAGGACCCTTCCGTGTGGCACGTTGGTGTATAAAGGTGGTGCAATGTTGGATAGCAAGAGACATCAGACTGGGTGATGCTTTCCGTCGGCCGTACATCTCGCCCTGGGCCGCTGCTAGCATCTTTCTTACTCCTTTCTTCATTGACGACAGAGATCGACTCGTGTGAGCAGCGTGTGAGCCGGGAGACTGTGCGTCTCGGCTGTGGCAGTTCCCACTACCTGTGAGGGATGTCTGAGATCTCTGGAGACGCCAGAGGCTGCCACAATTGAGACCTCTGAAAATAAGCAACAGGCATTGGCCGGAACACCATAGTGGGAAAGCCATTCTGGAGTTCTAAGCAAACTTCTGACTACAGAGCTTAAACGTTCTGCTATAATTTTGCAGGCGTTCCAGACCCCCCCCTTCCAATCCAGTTTTCACCACTGCTCAAATGTCACGCTATTCACACGAGTAGACCAACAAAACAGCAACTGACAAATGGCCCTGCTCTTCACATGTTTTTGTTTCGCAGTTTTCCTTTTTCTCGTTCAGATAAATGGAAAGAAAACAAGAACATTTCTGGAACCTGGATAAGTTCTTTTCCAAATTGGGTCTAAAACTGTTTTCGTTTTTTTGGGGGGAAGCCTCAAAAGAGCGTGACCCCATTATGCTATTCTATACCTTACATGTAGATTTGTTTTCTATATGTCCTATTTCGCCACATATATATACTACTGATCCATATGCATTTCATTGTGTTTGCTGCCATGGAGGAAAAATGAGTCATTCCAGCAAAATGGATATCCAGCTATTGCTACAGCATTTATAAAAGAGTCAGTCAGTTTTGAAAACCACTGAAATTACGTTAGGATTTTCAATTTTTTTATATATATATATAGTCCAGAAAATTTAGGAAAAGAAAATTGCCATGTTTTTCCCCCACAAAAAAAATGTTGAGAGATGCTATATATTTTCTGGTAAGGTGACGTTTTGCCTCTAAATGCCTCTACTAATGTTTTCAGCTATATTTTGATGGTTTCCAGTTAGGAAAACTCTGTTGCTTTTAAAAAAAATAAAAAGTTACTTTAGCGAAATGAAAAAAGTTCGGTGGATGACGGAATTTTTGGAGTCTTAGATAACGAGCGTCATGATACAACCGTCATGACACATGAACATACCTAAACACAATCATCCCAGACCAGGTAAGGCTTCTCACCTGTAGAAAGAAGTTTCCACTGGTTGGAAACCCCTCCTCCCTTTTTCACCGGCAGAAAAGCTGGTTGGGTCCAACTTTATAGATGAGCCTCCCACTACAGGTGTAGGAAAGGTTGCTTCAGAGGGGGACAAAAGACCTCAGTCAGCAATACCTGACCCAGGTATGCAGGTGATATGCAACTCCTTAGAGGCCCTGTGCCCCGGCCTGGGTGTGACCCTAAGAACTAAGTGGGTCACACAGTCCTCAGAGGTCCCTCCTGTTTGTCGACAATGCGGCCTTGCGCATGCTTTCCTTGTATTTCTCAAGCACCCATGTGGGGTTGATATTTTTATACGGTCTTTTAGCTAAGATTTCCCATCTCTCAGGAGGCTCTCAAAAGAACGCTTCTCTAACAGCAGGGAGAAATGGTGACGGAATGGGTTCGAAAGTTCAAAACATTGATTCCCCCCTCCCCACAATGTTCTAATGGATTTCGGTAAAAGAAGAAAAAGAATTACAAAATAACCCCAAACCCCTAATATAAAGAGTCTAAGAGGGGAAGTGTCAGCGCTGTTAGAACACGTTCAAGAATGTTCAGTGTTAATGGGACGGCGTAATTTGTTTCTTCCTCTTAATAAGAGGCGCTGCAGCCTCCCAGCGCTTGGTAATTACTTTAGATTATAGCTATTTTCAGCTTCTTGTGCATCAGGCCTTGAAATAACCTCTAAGGCTGCAGCCTGCGCAGACTGACTTAGAAGTAAACCCCACTGAAGACTGTGGGACTTACTTATGAGTCGACATAGATAGGACTCAGCTGCACTCATGTTATAAGAGTTTTCCTGAATCAGAGCCTGAGCAAAATCCTCTCGCTCCCAATCGTATATCTGGGATGCTGCATGATGGGAACATATCCCAGGATGCAATGCTCCAGGAGCAAAATCCTCTCGCTCCCAATCGTATATCTGGGATGCTGCATGATGGGAACATATCCCAGGATGCAATGCTCCAGGAGCAAAATCCTCTCGCTCCCAATCGTATATCTGGGATGCTGCATGATGGGAACATATCCCAGGATGCAATGCTCCAGGAGCAAAATCCTCTCGCTCCCAATCGTATATCTGGGATGCTGCATGATGGGAACATATCCCAGGATGCAATGCTCCAGGAGCAAAATCCTCTCGCTCCCAATCGTACCTCTGGGACACTGCATGATGGGAACATGTCCCAGGATGCACCACTCCAGGAGCAAAATCCCCTCGCTCCCAATCGTATCTCTGGGACACTGCATGCAGGGAACATGTCCCAGGATGCAACACTCCAGTTTTTTGATACCAAACGTTGGAGGCTGGACAAGTGAGGGTATTGTGCAAGGTCACTGCACAATGGAGTCTCTACCGTAGGCCTGGGAATGAGTCGATTCAACCCCTCATTTTCTGCATATCGGAGAATTCAGTCATGGTTCTTACTGGGGCACAGTTCTTGTTGTCTGATGCTCAGGAGTGAACTATTATGGGAGGCGTTTTGTATAAACAAGGCCCGGCCTCCACACAGTGGTGTGTTTTTTTGTTGTTCTTCGTTTAATAACAGTCTCTTCAGCCATTGTGCGTTCCAGCGTGACCCGCCAGAATTAGATGGAGAACCTCCTCATCTATTCCAGCAGATCTATGATTTTTTGGAGGACGTGGGCGGGAGAGTTTGGAGGGACAGACTGTCTTTTAAATATCTTTTTTTTTGGTCACACCACAGTGCTAATCGTCGACGACTCCTCGGACTTCTTCTGCTTGCTGGGCAGGGACTTGAGATACTCCAGGTGCCGCCGGGCATCCTCTTGGTTCTGCCGGACGTAATAGATCAGGTACGAGATCACCATGGCGAACCAGCCGAACATGGTGACCAGCATGGCGATGTCGGTGGTCTTCTTGTAGATGTTGCAGAAGTCTATGTCCCCGACCAGCTGCAGGAACGGCTTGCCAATGTGCTCCTTCCGCACAGAGGCATCGCACGTGATTCCGTCAGACGTGCCGGCGACCAGCTCCACCCTCTCGATGAGCTGCTGCAGAGTGCAGTCACAGAGCCAAGGGTTGCTGGAGAGGTTGGCTTTGGCTTTGAGCGGGTTAAAAACGTCCTTGTTGACCGACACCAGCTTGTTGGAGGACAAGTCCAAAGAATGCAGGCCTTCCGGCAAGCCCCGGAAAGCCCCGACTTCCACCCGGCTGATGATGTTGTGAGACAAGTCGAGCTCCATCAGGAGCGGCAAGTTCTGGAAGGCATCGTTGGGTAGGAAAGCGATCTGGTTGTAATCCAGGAACAATTTGTTGGTGTCGTTGGGGATGTCTTTTGGGACGATGGTCAGCTGAGCTTTGCTACAACGGAAAGTTTTCAAGCCGTCTTCGCTGGAAGGGTAGCAGCCCTTGGGGTAGGTGGTGGCTGAGTGGAAGCAAAAGGCGATCAAGACGAAACTCTGGAGGAGCAGCCACATGGCCACCGAGTGGTACAGGAACCAGTCCACAAAAGGCATGTTGGGGCATCTGGATAACTGGGCATCTACTCGGCAAACAGAGCCCTCTTGCTGTCCCTCTTGCCTCTTAAGGAGCCCTGGAGAGAGCTGTTCGGCAAGCGCTATCTGTGAAAGACAGAGCAATGGATAAAGCTCAAAATGCATCATACTCTGGTCTTCACAAAGACATTTAATAACAGATCTTAAGGCCTACAGAAACAGTCTTTGGCATCTCCAGAGCCGGAACCAGCTAAACCAAGGGTGTTGAACTCATTTGTTATAAGGACTAAAGATGACATAAATGAGACCTTGCTGGGCCGGGCCATGTGTGTCATTATGGGGGAGCGGTGGCACAGAGGATTTATCCTCTGGTTACAGTAACATCTGAACTGAACAGAACTGCTGTCAGTTCTAGCCCGCGCTGGTGTGAGCTACCAGCTCACCGTCAACCCAGCGGTTCGAAAGCTTCGGCGAGTAGATAAAATGGGTACCACTCCTTAGAGAGGGTGGGCACACTAAACCCCCCCAGTGGGGGGAGGTGTTAGCCGGTGAAACGGAATGTCCAGCTCGGAAGCCTGGAAAGATCTCTTTGGCATTAAGAAGCCTGCGATGGGCCAATCCAGCCAGGCGGTGGCAGTGCGGCGCAGTGACTCGAAGCAGTCCTGGAAAAACTGACGTCATCAAGCCAAGCCAGGTGAATGCCGTCTGGAACACGTCTAAGTCTACAGCTGAACAAAAAAACCCGTCGGGTGCAAACGTGTGCGACTTAAAAAAATATTTATATGTTGTCCTCCCTTACCCCTTGTGAATCATTGTTAGTCCCTTGTTAATATGTGTAACTGTAAATCGCTCAGAGCCAGCAGCTCTGCAGGATTGGGCAATTAATAAATTGAAAGATATTATTATTAAGATATTTGGGGGTGGGGCTTCCCCATCAGCCCGCTGGCCAGGAGCAGATTGCAAAAGCCGAAGAGCCAGCGCTGTCCGAAGACGTTTCCATGGTCATGTGGCCAGCATGACTAAACATCGAGGCGCACGGAACGCTGTTACCTTCCCACCGAAGTGGTACCTATTTATCTACTTGCAATTTCTTGCTTTCGAACTGCTAGGTTGGCAGGAGCTGGAACTAGAGACGGGAGCTCACTCCGTCATACGACACACTCGGGTCGTGAACTGCTGAACTACTGACCTTCCACAGCCTGCAGTTCAGCGTCTTAACCACTTGAGCCACCGCAGCTCCTAATGCCAGGTAGCGGAGCTATAAACTGTATAAAGGACACAAAGATCTTTTTTTTACTTAAAATAAAAACATGCTTAAAGCATTAGCCCTGTAAGCTGCAAACCTACTTTTGATTCATTGACATTAATAATAAATTAATGTGATAATTGCTACAAACTAGGGATACTCCTAATCTTCCAACCCCAAAAGGGAGAGAACAAGATGGGTAGCTGCGTTAATCCGCCTGTAGCAACAGAAAAGAGCAAGAGCCCAAGAGCACCTTAAAGACTAACAAAATTTGTGGCCGGGGAGGAGCTTTCGTGAGTCACGGCTTACTTCTTCAGACACAGCTAGAACGTGAGTCCATCTCACAAAAGAGGACATTTTTGTTCGTTAAACCCTACTTTGTGAGCGACTGGCATTAAAGTTGTGAGCGAGCGATTGGGCTGCTGCATAAATTAATTTGTGCTGGAGCCCTCCTTCCTGAGCTAAGGCAAAAATGTGTGAGCCGGAGGCTAAAAATCCGTGAGCTAGCTCACACTAACTCAGCTTAGAGGGAACACTGCGTTAACCCTCAGTGGTATACAAATTTCCTCCCAAAATAAATTAAATAAGCAATGCTTCCTTGGGGTGCCCCTTGCTCTCTTTAGGAACCCTGTGAAGGTATAGGGACTGTGAGGTCCACTGTATTTTTGTCAATAAGTAACTACGACAGAAGCTTGGTGGGGAGTTTCAAATGCACTCTTAACATGTGTAGTGCTCCAGTTCACACAAGACAGCAACTGTGTGTATTGGGAAGACCCCCCTGCAGGTGGTAGGCCCAGCTGGAATGTCTAAAGAGGGCTTCTGTCTGTTCCAAATCCATGAAGAAGAAGAGATTGGATGTATACTCTGCCCTTCACTTGGAGTCTCAGAGTGGCTCACAATCTCCTTTCCCTTCCTCTCCCCACAACAGACACCCTGTGAGGTAGCTGGGGCTGAGAGAGCTCTTTCGAGAACTGTCCTTGAGAGAGCAGCTCTGACAGAACTTGTGACTGCCCCAAGGTCACACCAGTAGCTGCAGGTGGAGGCGCCGGGAATCAAACCCCTTTCTCCCAGATAAGAGTCTGCACTCCTAACCACCACACCAAACCGACAACAGACTGGCATATAAAAGAAAGGACAAAACTATGCATGCTGAGTGCCATGTGGCCCAGAGCCAAATTTGAAGCAGGTGTCTTGTGCATGAAGCATTAATGCAGCTGTGTGGCAGGCGCATGGGGCCAAGGCTGTGCAAGGAGGCACTGCTGACCCCCGAGTTTCAAAATGATGCTGCAGCATGGAAAAGTCAAAACGTGGAAAACCCTGACAGATTCCCACCCACCCCCTTTTTTTTTTAAAGAAGACAAAACAGGCACGGGTAATTGCAAACCTGTGCTCAGCTGGTGGCAAATTCATATTCAAATGCAAGAGTACCCAGTGAAATTCCATGCCAGGGTGTCAAATTCTCCCCCCCCCCCTTAGCAGATGACAACCTGTGCTCCCGGCTGTGGATGAAACGGAAACAAGGGCTCCGGTGACAAAGCCGGGAACGGAGCCGGGAACGGAGAAAAGTGACCCCAGTCAACACCTGCTGGCGGGTGCAGCTCAGGAGGGGCAGCGAGGAGGATGCGAGAGAGGTTTGGCCTCCGTGCTGCAGCCGAAAGAGAGGGCAGAGCGAGTGGCTGATCAGAGGAGCCAATGGACATAGGATGCCTAACCTCTAGTCTGTTACTGTAACCGCAGTATCGATCACGAGGGTGGCCCAGTTCCAAAGAACTACCCACTCAGCTCCACGCCTCCTCCCTCTGAAAAGAGGTGGGCCTGTGCAGAAGGTCCCAGGTTCAATCCCCAGCATCTCCAGTGGAAAGGGTCGGGTAGCAGGTGACGTGAAAAAACCTCTACCTGAGACCCTGGAGAGCGGCTGCCAGTCTGAGCAGGCAATACTAGAGATGTGAAGGCCCGGCGAAAAAAACGGGAAAATTCGGAAAAAACACGTTTTTTTCCTGAAACCTTTTTTGTTTTTTTTCTGAAAAATTGGAAAAATTGAAAAAAGAAAAGAAATTGATTATGGAACGTTTTATTTTAACATGATGAATACAATATTTTAAGACAAGGTGTTCAAATATTTTCCAAATCATTTCTAATATATATATATATATGGTATCAGATTGATCTAATTTCTGTGCACTGAGGGCAAGCAAGTCCTAGGTTACAAACTGAACTCTCCAATGCAAGAACAAGATGCATTTCTTCCTTTAGGAGGTGCGATTGTCAGAAGAAAATAAAAAAGTTTCAGTTTTGTTTTTGCATGTGGGTGGGTATTCTGTTTGTAATAATTGTTTGGATACACTATATTTTTAATATGCTAGTTGTGATAATTTCATGCCAAGTAAAAATGTCCATAGTCATATTTTATGTTCCTAAAGTAACAGAATGACTTTCAATCTAGAAAAGACAAAAGAAATGCTAATGTAGCATTTTTTCAATTTTCCAAAAAAATTCTGTTTCCCCCCAAAAAAAACTGGGGAAAAACTGGGTTTTTTTCCGAACTTCAAAATTTCCGGAAATTTTACATCTCTAGGCAAAACTGACCTTGATGGACCAAGGGTCTGATTCAGTGGAAGGCAGCTTCATGCATCCATTTGAGATGTCCCGCTGGGCATGCATGCAAGCTTTGAACATACCTAATGGGCCCTTCCTCCCTGCAGAATAATTGAGACTGTCCACTCCTTGCTGGAGCTCTTTCTTATCGCTCAAAATCTCAATCAGTTCTTTTTAGCTGCATTTTGAAGGAAGACAAGGCTCACAGGCAGAGAGCTTCCACACCAGGGTGCCCCTCTGGACTACCAACCAAATCACTGCAAAATGTGAGCCAGTGTTTCTAGCTGCCAGTGGGCCATGGGAGGTCTGAAAGGTAAGGCCACTGAAAGGTAAGGCCACTTCTCCGCCCAATTGTTTGATCATAAGAAGAGCCAAGCTGGATCAGACCAGTGGTCCATCTAGTCCAGCATCCTGTCTCACGCAGTGGCCAACCAGTTCCTCTGGAGGGCCAACAACAGGGCATAGAGGCCGAGGCCTTCCCCTGATAAGAACCTAAAAAGAGCCCTGCTGGATCAGACCAGGGAGGGTCCATCTAGTCCAGCTTCCTGTCTCACGCAGGGGCCAGACAGTCCCTCTGGAGGGCCAACAACAGGGCAGAGAGGCCGAGGCCTTCCCCTGAGAAGAACATCAGAAGAGCCCTGCTGGATCAGACCAGTGAGGGTCCATCTAGTCCAGCATCCCGTCTCACACAGGGGCCAGCCAGTTCCTCTGGAGGGCCAACAACAGAGCATAGAGGCCAAGGCCTTCCCCTGATAAGAACCGAAGAAGAGCCCTGTTGGCTCAGACCAGTGGTCCATCTAGTCCAGCATCCTGTCTCACTCAGTGGACATCCGGTTCCTCTGGAGGGCCAACAACAGGGCATAGAGGCCGAGGCCTTCCCCTGATAAGAGCCTAAGAAGAGCCCTGCTGGATCAGAGCAGTGGTCCATCTAGTCCAAGTTCCCGTCTCACGCAGTGGCCAACCAGTCTCTCTGGAGGGCCAGCAACAGGGCATAGAGGCCGAGGCCTTCCTCTGATAAGAACCTAAAAAGAGCCCTGCTGGATCAGACCAGCGGTCCTTCTGGTCCAACATTCTGTCTCACCCAGTGGCCAACCAGTCTCTCTGGAGGGTCAGCAACAAGGCAGGGAGGCCAAGGCCTTTCCCTGATGCTGCTCCTGGTTCTGGGATTCAGAGGGTGACTGCCTTTAGTCTCCTAAATTTCACAGAATAAATAATAAATTTGAAAGAATAAACAATCCCTGACCAACACTCACTGTGGGTGTGGAATCATAGAATCATAGAGTTG